GCGTGCGTCCCTTTTGGTGACGTATGTGCGGCCTCATTGTTTCGCCCCACTACCTTATCAGCGGCCCTACGCACGTCCCGCTAACTGGCTATGCCTTCGACGCTCAATCAAATTTCAGCACGGAACCGGTTTACTCTGCTAGAGTTCCCGAGAGTTTCCCCCCACTACCTTATTTGTGGTCCTTCGTACGTCCACTAGTCGGTGTATGTTCGGTACTCGGACAGATTTCAGCACGAGACCGGTTTATCCCAGCAGGATTCCCGAAGGTTTCGCCCCACTACCTTATCTGCGGCCGTACGCACATCCCGCTAGTCGGGTATGCCTTCGGCGCTCAGACAGATTTCCCACAGACGGCGCCGGTGTTGAGGTTTATTCCTTCAACCCTCGGGTCCAACACATAAGCCCAAGGATTTCGAGTGGATTGTTTAGGTGAGAGTAGGGGTGGACTGGTCCAACTGCAAGTAAGATGGGCTAAGAGAATAGTGAATAAGTGAAGGATCGGATATTATTAATGAAGAATAACGCCCGATATAATACACTTTTTAAGACCGAAGGCCGTTCATCCTCTACTGTAGTAGAAGAGCTGCGAGTAATATGCTAGAGTGCTAAGGTTAATAAGTTGTCAACCCCTTACAATGAAATAAATGCTACTATTTATACCACTAATGGGCAGTTCACTATGCTGATGTGGAAGGCTGTGGGTGGCTGATGTCTGAACCACCAAATCTCCAGCATTAAATGCGCTTCCCGCCAGAATCTGGGTTTCTCGGCCTAATCCGTGGGGACGGACGTCCAGATGGCCTGGGGCCTGCTCCTGATGGCCCTTACAAGGGTTGTGGGCCGTTCGTATCCTGGCCCTTGGGATAATTTGTCATATAGCTTGGATTAGACATCATGTGGCTGTGGGCCTTAGGTGGCGACATTCGTCGCCACGTCCTTTGTCCGCGGGCATGATTTGGTGTAACACCCCCAAATTCCCCACCCAAAAACACTTTGAAATAATACTTTATTATTAATTTTATTAGAAAACATCAGAATTGTGCAGCGGAAAAATTCAAAGGGAAATAGGGGCGTTACCGCCACACTTGGCTTTAACCTAACCGAGTGCACAGGCTAATCACCACAGAAACCATTAAACTCAATAAGTGTCTTAAAAATTAAATCAAACTACGATGTTATCTACTAATTACATTTTCTCTAGCGGAAGCTCTCTCGAAATCAACATCATCAGCAAAGCATTACCTGTACAAAATCAAGTACAGAAAGAAAAATAAAAGAAAACAAAATTAGCAACAATGCTAAGTAAGTTCCACCTAACCCCATAAAATAATATAATTTAATATTTTTGAAAAAAAAACATTTAGGAGGAAAAATCTTTTTAAAACAATTTATAAAATCTTCTCACAACATAATTCACTAGTAAAATAGTAGTACTTCAAATATAAGTAAATATTTCTAAACCACAATAATTACAAAATACCAAATATACATAAAGTGCCAAAAGTCATTCTCAAAATACTTCCAAATACTCATAATCAATATTAGCATACTCAAACCGAATTAAATCCAAAAGTATTCATACTTTGAAATTCCACAAATAATTTGATAATTCAATCCAACTCAAATTCAATCAAATAATCAACAACTCAAATCAAATCCAATCCAATCAAATATAATTTTCCCCAAAACCTCAAAACATCAATCCAAATATAATTTGTACTCCTAATACATTTGAAGGGCGGTGCTCAACATTTTATTGAGCCCGATGGTCCGTTGTTATGTACGGCCACCCTGGGACTTTTGCCGGTACCACTTCTAACCTGAGGAAACTGAACCCCTACCTTAAGTGTGCACACCCCCTGAAAGGGATTCCAAGCCCTACGGGTAGTAAGAAGCCCAAGTAGTTCGGACGTCAACGTCCCCCTACTCCACCAAAAAGGGATTACCCTACAGAAGTGACTAGGTTACTGCTACTACTGCCAAACTCCACCAAATATCTATCGTTCGGGATTTTCTACCGAACGCACCAAACTCATTTATTTAGGCTCTGTTTGCAACCACTTGGGCTTAAATAAAAGTACTTTTTGGGAAAAAGTGATTAGTAGTAAAAGTTGGTAGTGTTTGGTAAAATAAGTGCTTTTTGTGTAATAGAAAAAGTAATTAGTAGATTCTACACGAAAACCGAGGAAGTAAAAGTTGATAGTGTTTGGGAAAATAAGTGCTTTTTTCTATATAAAAAAAAAGCCAAAATCACTTTTTTTAATTGATTGCAAACAAACCCTTAAATTGTTCGGATTGGTTACCGAACCCACCAAGCAAATAGTAGCATCCCTAATCACTCCTTCACAATTAACAGTCGTGAAGGGGACCGACACCACGGATTTCTCCCGCGATGCCCTTACATTGAAAGGTTCTTTTTATCTTGATTACTTCTTAAAAATCTATATCTATTATTCATAGATATAGTTTTAGAATAAGGATTATTATCCTTGGATTTCAAAACACAATTTCACCATGTAGTTCAAAATATCTTGATCTCTAATAGCTTTCAGAATCTCATATTATACATAGACATAAATTTCCAAAATAGGAGTTAATTGATCCTTTAAACTTTAAACTCGAAATTTACCAACACGATCAAAATATAGAATACTTCATAAATAGCTCAAATCTCAATCCCAATAATGATTTATAACTTCAAATACTCAAAAATATCACCCAATATTCAATACTCAAATCACAAATATAATCCTCAATAACAATCCATAAATAATTCTAAATACTCAAATACGAAGTATTAATGTAAATGCTAGAATCTCACAAAGTACTCAAATAATTTCAAATGAATAATCATATATATAGATTTACGAGGAAAAGTGTAATGTTGGTTGACGTAGAACTTACCTCAAATCGCGATAATTCCTAACCAAAGTTTCTATCTCGATCTCCTCCAAATTCACCTTCTAAGAATATTGAAATTATAGAATCAATAACGATTATAGGCCTTACTTTAGTAAATCTTATGTATCCTGAATAGTTAGTCAAATTAAGCCTTTATCCCTTTACTTTAGGAGTAAACCAGTCGGCCCATCTACTGTTATTATTAATAATAATTCAGCCCCACTAAACTTTTAACAATCTCGGCCGAAAACAATGAATAGCAGAAGACTACAGAGTAGAGTCTACGTACATTCAATTCGTCGTCTTCGTGGAAGCTCAGCCGACGTGCGCAGGTGGTGCTCTCCGGCGGCAATAGGAGTTCAACAGTTCAATTGAGGTGGCGGAGACACGGGCTTTGTCCTCTTCTTCCGTCGTCAACTGCTCGGCAGTTCATCCATCAGCAGCGGCATGTCCGGCGTGTTGTTCTTCCTCTTCTGGCGACGCAGTGGAAATCTACTTGGGCTGATCATCTCCAAGGGCTGGTTCCTCTGTTTTTGTACAGAGCAGTACGGTCAGTGACTCACTCCGGCAACGGTAAATGGTCATAGCTTCTTCTCCGGCGTCGCTGCTTGAAACAAACCTCTCCGGTGATACGTGGTGCTGGGCGACGACGAAATCTCCGACTGGTCCCTTCTCTTCCTCCCTCTTCGGGTGGCGCAGGTGTTACCGCATGGATTCGCAGGGTAGTGTTATGTCAGGCTTGGGGTTTATTTCGATCGTTTAGCAAAGTTATTCGTTGTTTCGCAGTGTAGTATATGTATATATGTCTGTGGCAGCGACGATGGTTTAGGGTTCGCAGGTTTGTGTGCGGCGGGTGCAGAGATGGTAACCGGTTTCCGATCGTAAACGTTATGTATATATATGCCCAGTAGAGGATTCTAGACTTTAGGGTTTGTTTCATGCTTCGGCCGTTTTCTTAAAGCTTCGCCGTAGGCCCGAAAATGTGTAATACACTAATACGAGTATTACGTAAGAATATAATGGGTGCGTTATGAAATCTAGTTTTTATGATGATTATTACCCATACAAAGTATTATTCCATCGGTGTATATGCGTATGAGTAATATTGCATATTAGGAAAAGTCAACCAATGTATGTCAAAATATTATACTACGTATATGAGTACGTAATGCTTATCATTTAATTTAAGTTTAAATTTTACTACGAATCTTTTCACACAATTGTAATTTAACGGACACCTTTAAATAAAATTGTCACTTTTATTATTATTTAATAAGTCAAAGTTTTACGTGACTAAAAATGTACTTTTATTTTATTTAAATTTTCAGAGTGTCACATTTGGACCTTTGTCGCCTTAGGTGGCGACGTTCCTGGCTGGACGCTCGTCGGGTTGGGTTGCCTTGTTGAGTTGTTGGGCTGGACGTTCATCCAAATGAGGGGGTAAATGGGCCGGTGGTCCTCTATTTGGGGCATTAACCCAACAATATATATAGGGGAGAGTTCAAATAAAAAGTGGTGTTCCCATGCAAACTGCGAAATTTGCACTTTTCATGTTTCGCTTTCACTTTTTCGTGTTTCTATTGCACTTTTTCGCCATTGCGATTTTGGCCAAATTCAGCCAAAACCACGGTGGCAGTTTTGTAAATAATCCATTTTTTCACTACCGAGAAAAAGTGCAACGGAAACAAACAAAAGTGCAAGCGAAACATGAAAAAATGCAAATTTCACACTTTGAAAAAGTGAAATTCAAATAAGAAGCCTTTAGGTGAGAAATGAGAATAAATTTCAACCGTTGGATTCGACTAAGTTACAGTAAAAGACACTTCAAGGACCAAGGTGCATTGAAATATGCAATCTAGCACGGTGAATTAACAATGGAAAAACAATAATTTTGCAATTTAAAATTAAAGAGTTAATATTTTAACATAAAAATAAATCTTTATTTTTTTTTCAATTTCAAATTTATAATTTATTTTCAATGTTTTTTAAAATTTATTTTATTTATTTAAAGCCAATAAGGATAAATTTGCTTCTTTATAGGACATGAGGGGTATTTTTGCACCTTTTAAAAGTTCAAGAGTATATGCACCTCCACATAAACATTGAGTATATTTGTTCCAAAAATAAAACAGAGATATATTTGTTCTCACACACATAGTCACATACTACATGGGTATATTTGTACAATTTCCCTTGTATTAATAGTTGACAGAGGGCAATCTATTACTTGCCTAATCAAGTATGTAGATGATAGAAACATGACTAAAGAAGAAGAAATACTATTCCAAATTCTGGATAATAAGTGCTTAACATCTATATTCTATTATTGATATTATTATTATTACATATATGTCCAGCTAACATAGACTATACAACAATGAAACTCTTCATCTATATTCTCAAACTCATCCACTAGTAGAATGTACAACATCACACCCCCGAACATCAGAGAAGTTCTAAGGTAGCCCTGTGGCTCAGTAATAGCATCACCCGTCAGAGTTTAGGCAGGCGGGAGTAGTAGTAACAACAGTTTCCACGGTGCAATCTTCATTGATTGTGCCCAGGTCAATTCCAGCTAGTACGTGACAGTCAGGGAATACACCATATGGGTGGGATACAGTCCCGGACAGTGATATATAATAAGCTTCCCGGTCTGGTTCTATTGAACAGAGGACCAGGCGGGCAATCCAGGGACCATAACTACGACCACCATTCAAATAGTGTAATTCACGATTTGACCAAGTCCAAAACCACTTGCCCTAAGAACACCAACACAGTCTAGTTGAGGTTCCAAGTGATCCTAGACCAGAACTAGAACCAGATTGGAATGGGACCATGTTCACCCTAAGAGTTTCAAGTGTTCCAAAAGCACTAGGCGAGCAATTTTGAAACAAGAACAAAATAATGTTTGCAGACGGGAAATATAGCACCTAGAAGGAGATATTTAAAACAGTTTCAAAGCAAAACTTGAAAATCTGTAGGTAGAAAGGATACATTCAGTCCACATGTCAGAGATGCTAACATCAGCGTCCGACAATAGCCAGTAATCTGCTTCATTCTACAAAGGTCGGGAAAAAACAAGAAAAGGAACCATTAGGCTTGGAAAGATAGCAATTTAATTAATCCCACTAGTATCCATGTATGAGACCTGAACAAAAAAATTGGTGATTATAAAAAGAGTACTCATACTGTCCTGAGAGATGAACCACATCAAAAATTTAAGCGTGCATTTATGAAAAGTGTGTTAAACATTGACCTTTTATGGTTATTTAAGAAAGCACCACATTGGTGGTTTTACAAAATAAAAGAAGGAAAAACATAACAGATCACTTTGAGTGCTTAAAGGAGAAAGCAATAATGATAAAAGCAAATATACCACAAGTATGTTTTAGGGGGTGCTTGGTAGAAAGTTTTGGAGATGGATGAGGAATGGGAAAGATAGTTTGTACTTTATAAGTGTTGCACTAATGGGAGGTATGAAACCCATATAGCCCTTCTTCTCAAACTCATTTCAACCTCTAACATTTACCAAGCATGATGCCCACGGCTGGGTCTTTATCTTGCGGCGGTCAAACATCTTCTGGTAGAAAATATCATAATATTTTGTACAAGCTGTTCGTATGTGAGGTAAGGAACCCCCCCACCCCACCCCACCCAAACTAAGACGTCTCTAGTAGCCATGAAGAATACGGCATAGACGAAGAAAAAGGGACCACATTTGGTCAATGATGTTGAACATTGACCAATGAATGATAGGAACCCATTAGTATAATAATACTAATAATAATAGAAGTGTATTAAATAAGTATGGTAGTGTATATATAAGGATCCTGGGCCATGTCATAAAATATGGGCTGGCCCGTGAGGATATAATTACTATTTTTTTGATGAAATGTAAATATATATAGAATCATCCAAGAATGTTTATGTACATCATATACAAAAAGCAAAAACAATAGGCCAATCCTCATGTAGGATGCCTCTTCCTCTCTATTCGATAACTAACCGTATAAGTTAGCTATCCACCACAAAAATCAGCCATCAAGCAATTGACAAAAAACGGGGTCTAAACAGCCCCAAAGTTTCAAAAAGTAATCATATGGACTGGGTATAGCGAATAGAGGATATAATTACTATAAGTATGGGAAGGGGAGAATATGGTAGTAGGCAGATTTTGGATTTGGGAAATTGGGATCTGGGAGAGTTGAGGCCTCTCGAAGTGCCCCCCGTCTGTATCTTCTTCTTCCTTTCTACAATTCACCTCAATAATAGTGATCGTTTACTGTTACGAAATTAGAGTTCCTATCAATGAACAAATAATAATGAATTGTTTACTTGTACAAGAGTACAGTTAACGAAGAACAATTTTTCATTGCGCTCACATTATAAATTATGTTTACCTAAAAGTGTATTACACTATTATTAGTCAAACTTGAAAACCTTTGGCCAGAAAAGTCAAATGTGGCCGACTAAAGTGGGGTGGGTAGATAGTACAAATGTGTCCAAACTGAAAACAAAATTAGATCTGGTTCATCTTGTGGGTCAGATATAGAAGCACTTATTTATCATAACAACATCAACAACAATAGAAGTAGATAATGGACTTACATCAACATCCGGAACAATTTTCATGATCCCAGACACAAAGTCATGCGATGTACCCACATCCAGAGATAACCTGTCTGTCATGCCAACATCATGTTCTCTTCTCTCGCTTGCTAACGCTCCAGTTAAATTTTCATTGGTTGAAGGGATGGTGGGTGGTGTTTCAATACCATTCATCTCCTCAAAATTTTCCTCAAATTGGCTATTAGGAGGTTGATAGTAAAAGCAAATAAAAGAAGGCGCTCGTGAGATAAATAGTTACTCAATAGTTACCAGATAAATAGTTATTCAATACCATTCATCTCCTCAAAATTTTCCTCAAATTTTCCTCAAGTTACAATTTTATTAAATGCAATTCAATAAGTAAAAAAAAAGTCTTCATGTTCAAAGAAGCCAAAATACCTGACCAGGTAAACATCGATTGGACCCATGGTGCTTCTCAAAACTATCCTGTATCTCCTCTGTGGATATTCAACGGCCTGTTGAAAGGTCAAAAAAGTAAATACAGGAATCTAGAACACGAAAAAAATGGAAATTGCATATGAAGACAGAAAAACGTTATTATAATAATACAAGTGTAGGGTGGGAACCTCATCAGGATCTGGAACTTCTAAGGTCGTGCCATGTGGTGCTTTAATCGCTATGAGTGTTTCGTTCTGAAGAAGAAGAAAATGTACTTGAATGTTAAATGTATTCCATGGGTCATCCTGAAACAATCTTTGTGTCCTTTAGTACAGGGGTAAGGCTGTGTACATCCGACCCCCCTTCCCCCAACGTAGGTGGAGCCTTTGCAGCACTGGGGTAATGATGACGGCACTGAGGTAATGATGATGATGAATGACGATGACGACGATGAAAGTTAAACGTATTCCAGTAATCAAAATGATGTGGTGAGACTCGGGACAAGGTAGGGGGGAAATTCAGCAAACATAAATTAAAGGGCTACTTATATTTGCGTACGACCGAGTTTATGAAAATCACAAATTAACCCCTTGACCAACCAAATTTTCCACATATGACCCTTTTCACACTAAAAGGTTAAAGGCTGTGATAATCTTGTGGAAGCTTGCACCTGAAGTTTACACCAATTTTTCCACATATGACCCTTTTCATACAAGATTTACCGGAAGTTTGCACCTTCAGTTTTTGTGGTTTAGTACATTTTGAAATATTCAAAGCTTTCTTACACAAGTAATCTTGTGGGAAAATATTGAGTGCAATTTAGTCCAAAAACTCAATAGCTATTAATATACGTAAGTGTCAGTTGTGGAAATTTTGACTACTAAGGGACTTATTTTTGCAATTTTCAAAATCCTCAAGGGTTACTTGGTGACTTGACCAAACTTAATGGCAGTTCAATGTAATCAACCCAAACTAATTTCTTTAAAGCTCTGTTTAGTTTAAGAACCTGAAAACAAGGCAAGTTCTTGATATCCTCTTCAGTAACAAAAAGCCATCTGGAAGAAAAAAACGTGAGCATGCAAAATTCACAGCCATAAAACACTTGAACTTTATAGTTCTGATATGCCAAAAAATAGAACCTTTGATTGTTTTCATCTTCGCTCAGGTCCCTCAGTCTATCTTGCATTACTCTAAAGCAAGCCAATGGCATCCAAAATAAGTATATCATAACATAAATATGGTATTGTACAATTCCATAATGTTAACACACAAAATTACCGGATCTGTTCATCTATTCTATGCTCCTCCAAAGTCAGGCACTCCACTTCCGTCTGAATAGAAAGCACCAAATATGAGATTACATCCCAATATTTGAAATCATATTTAGGGTATATTTGGAGCATGGAAAATGTCTAGGGAAAATTGAAGGGAAAATTAGAGGACAAAAAATGGTTTGGACTCCAAATCAATTCTAGTTATCTGTTCAAATCCATCATATTCATTAATTCTTTTATAGAAAGATTAGAAGATCTAAATATAAGTGTTTTAACAACTTGTAATCAAAATTGATTCGCTTTTGTGTTTGCCAAAGTTAAACCCAAATACTCCTTCCAATCACTTTTGAGTGCTCTCCTTTCGCTTGTGAAAGTTCATCATACCTTGCCCCACTTTCCCTTAGACAACTTTCCTACATTTTTCATTTCTAGAAGGCATAAATACGCTTACTTTTTCATCTTGGATTTCCAGTTTTCCCTACTTCATCTTTTCTGTCACAATTTCTACATTCTTCACTACGACTACAAATTTTCTCTTAGATTCTGAGTAAACCCTATAGGAGAAACTAAGAAGAGCGGATGGAGTATTAAAAAAAATCTTTAGCATCAGGGGCTTCTCCTTAAGCTCATACTACTTTCATCTCACCTGTAAGCTCATAACACTCTCATCAGGGGCTTCCGTTCTTGACACATCTAGGCCCCTGCACACATTTTGAAAAGTCACTTTTCCTTTGTTGAGAAGAAATAAATTTTATTAGCAACTAATACTCAAAGTAGTAGGATTGCATAGATTTTCGTACTTCCACTGAATTATGTTCTTTAGATTCTTTTCTATTAGACCAACGCCTTCCAGTACATTTGTTATGTCATAGATACGCCTTTTCTGGACCTGTTAAGACATAAGATGGAAAAACAGTTAGTTTCAGCTTGTAGAAACTATATGAGGGTTAATACGATAAGGTAAGGTGACCTCTAATGTATCAGCTGCCTTGTTCAGATCAAGAGTGCCATCATCTGCTTGCTTGATAAGATTAATGAACTTCTTCGTTAATAGACCTGAGACAAAAATTGTCAATAAGCTGTTCTGCAACACCACACTTGAGTCTTATAGGTTGACTATGAACCTTTTCACATGCTTGGTTTCTCATGTTTTAACTTCTCACCTCCGCGTCCACAATTACAGCGGAGATCATCATCATTACCACAGTGCCGCAAAGGCTCCCACCTACGGTGGGGTATGGGGGTCAGATGTATGCACCCTTACCCCCGTACTAAAGCACAGAGAGACTGTTTCCGGATATTTGCAGCGGAGAGCCGGAGATATACAGAATATATGAAAGAGACAGAAGCATATGGACCCCCCCCCCCTCCCGTCAAAAAAGGGGGTCTCTTTGGTCAAGGTACAACTCTTAAAAATCATGGAACCATTCTTGTATTGTAAACACTACCTCTGTCCTACAAAGATAGGCTTGTATTCCATTTCATCATTCCTACAAAGGTAGTCCAGTGGCTATATAGGGTATTCGGATGTGCATTTAATTTCTCACTCCTGTTACCACTACTTAATTTTTCATTTTCAGTTTTCCCGTGTATCATTAATTCATTAGTCAACTTTAAATTATGGTTTTTCATAGGGATATTAAAAAATTACAGCTTTTTTATTATGTGCAACTTCACACATGAAGGCAGTGGTCGTTTCAAAAGTGACTACAGATTGACAAATTAAATGAAAAATTAGCTACGTGCTATGAACTATGACTCCTTTTTTGGACAAACGGAGTAGTAGATTCATATACATAAAGCACAAGTTACCTAGGGAGCTGTCATACCGACATGTGCCAACTGAAGTGGTATTGTAACCAGAAGGAGATCCTGTAAATAATGAAAAATAATACTGATTTCCTTCCCTATAGTGAAGTGCTTTCTCAAGACTAATTTTACATATAAAGATGAAAATTTCAAGACTTATTTGCAGAAAAAAGATAATATAATCTAAAACAAACTCTTTAAGAAGAGTGCTCACCAACGATTGCAGCAGTTTGAGATACATATCTATTAGACTTCGACGTCCTGGATATTTTCTGTGCCTTTCCCAATTTCCCTGACACTGGTGTTTGCAGTGGGCTGTTGAGAGCATATACAGAAACTTCATTCTCATCGCCCAATGCATGTGCAGGACTCATTGTCTCTGTCTTACGCTTCAATGTCTAATTGAACCAATTATGGGTCAGAATATAAATAACAAAACTAATATTCCTAAACCCCTGTCCAAAATCCAAATACAAGAACAAAATAAAACAAAGCTAGAGTGAAGCCTAGACTATCCAAAATAACCAAACTCCCCACCCCGCCCCTATCAGTACAAGATGGGGGAGAGTTTTAGCAGAGATGACACGGGACAAGTCCCCGGCTCACAAACCAGCAAACATCAAAAGCACCACAAACAAAGCATGAAAATCCTGCTGGCCGAGAACTAATTAAAGCCCCAGGCCCAGCTAACATCCAGTACACAAAATAAAATGTCCAACAGAAAATTCCAGCCCACAAAAGCCACCAACACCTAATTAAAGGCAGTGGAAGTCTCGGGCGAACAATCCATAATCAAACAAGAAGCAGCGAACAGGACAAATAAAGCCCAAGTGGCTGGATCCAGAAGACAACACGCGACCCACACCATTCAGGCGACCCGACCCGACCCGTTGGAAGAGTAGACACCCTAGAGTCTTCCTGATCAAGTGCGCCGCTGGAGTGAGAACGCCCTAATCCAAAAGTCAAAGTGGTCCCACAGCACATTACCCAACAGCGAAGTCGTATCCATCGGGAAACAGGACTGGACAGCCAGTCTCGTCAACGAAACATCAGCCCATCCAATCCACGCCGGTCTGGTTATCTTCTTCGGTGATTCTGGCGGGTTTCCGGCAGGCATAAAAATCACGTCAGAGGCCAGATCAAGCACAGATTCAGGAATATCTGTCCAGCAAACCTCTATCCAAAGCCTCATAGAAGAGTGAAAATCTCCTCCGCCTCAGGTTCAGTCACCCACCCCCACCGATGGCAACCGGAGGGCACAACGACTATGGCCACATCGACAGTGTTCTCCGGAGGAAGAAGATCAACGAAAAAGTAGTGAAGAACAAGCTTACCCAGCTAGCGGCCACAAAAAATAGCAATTTCGGACAGATGAAGTGAAACGGCAGCCACAAGAGATCTGTCCACCATGGCCAAAACGGAGCAGATCTCTGAGGAAGAAGAGACCAGAAATGGTGAAGAACAAGCTAGCAACTCCCAAACTAGCGGCCAAGAGGATGAACACTTCTAGTAGATGATTCTCAAAGTGTCCCAGCAGCAAGGAGACAGCAAAGAGCCCTAAACAATAAGTAAGAAACCGGCAGCCCTTACACTACCATGTCCAGCGCCATGCCAGAAGGCATCAAGCTGCAGACGCTGGGAAGCTTTCGCCCTGGTAGCTACTGGTTAGAGGGAAAAGGACAGAGATGAAAACCAGGGGAATCACAAGGCAACCGATTCCACCAAGGCTCAGTCGCCGGAGCAACCATAACCGACGGACTGTCAACTCACCATCGTTGAGTGCAGACTGAGAAAGAGGACTACGGGACAGCAAGGGAAGGCAACAGCGTGGAATACCTGGACAACACCTTAAACGGAGTAGCACTAAAACTGCGGACCATCAAGTGATGAGAGCAAACTCACCACACACAGCAAATCCCCAGGACCAGAAGAGGCCACAGCGGAAGAAACCACGAACATCCAAAACATTCCAATCCGAAGATAAAAAGCCCAAAAATAAAACGAAAAGTACAAATCTCATCCATCGAAATGAACGAGATGGTTCCAAAATAAGAATCAAATACCATTTAGCAAGCTAAAACGGTATGAATCGAGCCGGAAACAACCTGGAAACTAGAGAGAAGTCAGAGACTTCTCCTAGTGAGAGAACACTCTCAACCAGGCATTATGGCATCTCACAATACAAACTTTCAAAAGAACACTTCTCCTTTCCAACTATACATCTTCCTATGTGTAAACAAAACTCGAATGCCACTAGAACGCTTCTTCCCTTGATATATTTAGTCTCTTTCTAATGCATATCATGCATTTACCTATGCATGAATACCTTAAAGTTAAATGGCAACCTTATTAGCTGTACATCCAAATTGCTAAACTCAAAAGGTCAAAATAGATTATGGAAAAAGAACCGAAACATCACTCAAACCAACAAATAAAGGGGTTTTTCCTTAAATATTACTCTCTCTTTCCCCCTAAGTTTGTCCCATTTTACCTTTTTCGTCCATCCCATTAAGTTTGTCCCATACCATATTTGGTAATATTTGGGTGGTTACAATTCGTTATTACTTTATTCACACTTTATCAATTCAATACCAACCACACAATTCCACTTTTTCTTAAAAGTTGTGCCACATCCCTTTGTCCCAAACATAGTGGGACGGAGGTAGTACTAATAAAAATGTCATGGGAAAAAATGTGACTTAGTAACTATTAGTGACTACAATTGTGTTCAAATTTAGATCACAGGAGCTTAAATTTAGTTACCACGATAAACACAATTGTAGTCACTAATAGTTACTAAGTACTCCCTCCGTATCAAATTAATTGACCCGCTTTCCTTTTCGGGACGTATCAAAATAAAAGTCCCATTTCCCTTTTTGGAAATAAACCCACCCAAAAAGCAGCTACAGTACAGCTGCAGTACCGCTACAGTACCAAAACCTCCTACTTTACATATATTTGCCTTAAACTACGTGAAAAAGCATATGGGTCAATTAATATTTTTGTCTATCATGTTTTAAAGAATAATATTTATGGAATTTTTTCACAAATAAATCACCACCACCACCACCACCACCCGCAAGAGCCCATAAGTAGTAGAGAATTTAGAATAGAAGGAGATTCCAATTACTCAAAATTGATCATGTATTAGAGTTGATATAGGCTCACGAGATGAGACCTATTAGGAACCAATTTACAATGATAGAAGTTGACATATACACGAAAGATGCCTATAAATGGGGTAAGTAATACGTAGTACTCCCTCCATCCCAATATTACCTTCATTCTTTCCTATTTCATTCATCCCAAAATAAACTTCATTTTCCTTTTATGGCAAAGAATTCGCAGTTTATATTATTTCTCCCTCTATAGAACAACTCTCAATCACACAATTTCCACTTCCTTAATCTACATGCAAAATCAAAATCAAAACCTGAGTTAATATTGGTACAGAGGAAATGTTATTTTTGGCTTTACAAATAACCTAGATCATATCAAGAAAGATTTAAAAGTAAAGAAAAAAGTTTTTGAAGAGTGATTTTACTATATAGTTTCAAATATGTAAAATATAGGTGTTTTCCCTAAATAATAGTACTACATTTTTCCCTAACTAGGACTACAGATGACCATATCAGGATGACATGGTACTAGGATAGTTGTGCATATCAGGTTGTACTATTTAAGGGGGAAACATAGCACTCCTATTTTGGGAATTCAGCCTATGTAAACAGAACTTAGAATGACAGCAGCAACCTTCTTCCATTGGTATACATAGTCTCTTGCAAACCCATAATTTGCATTAACGTAGGCATCAATACTCTAAAGTAACATAACTATCTATTAAACACCATACTACTCAAAAGGTTAAAATCGAATAGAGTCAGAAACATTATTGAAGGAAAATAATAATTCACATTTAAGACATAATATTGTAGTTAGCCGTTACATATCTCTACCATTTAATATTATATTATTACTTACCTTATAGACTTAGTCAGTGTATGTATAAATAGAGCTCATTGTAAACGAGTTATACACATCAAAATACATTCAGACATTCAGTTTCCCTTCTCCCTATTATGGTATCGGAGCCCTTGAGCTCTAACCAGCCCTCCTTCCCTCCCCTATGACAACCAATAATCAGCCTGAGGTTCTCCTTCAACCAGGAGGCCTCGATAATATTCCCACCAGTACACCTATCACCTCTAATACCCCTCCCACCACAGTTTCTGCTCCTCTCACCCCTGATGGATTAATCCTGCTAAATCCCAGTCACTTCCCAGAAAAGCTAGATGGTTCAAATTACCTTGTATGGCGAGATCAGATTCTGGATCTTCTTTTTGGGTCTCACCTTGATCAATATATATCGGATGATGCTGCCCCACCTCCACAGACTGACGCAGATGGTTACCTCCGATGGACTAGGCAAGACCGCCTCATCCGGCACGCCCTCATAGCTTCCCTGACTTCGGCATGTAAACCTCTCGTTGGGTCGTCTTGTACCTCCGCAGCAGTTTGGAAAACTCTGGAGGAGCTCTATGGGACTCGTTCACCATCTCAAATCCGAAATATGAAGGACACCTTCTGCCACACCAAACAAGGCTCTCAACCGGTGGGGGTGTATCTTCATCACCTGCAAACACTCGCCAATGAATTGGCTCAGGCCGGCCGACCTGTTGATGACGAGGATTTCGTCGTTCAAGCCCTGGAGGGACTACGACCCGAGTTCGAATCATTTGCGAACTCGATTCGTACCTGCGGCGACAATCGGTTCAAGACCATCTATAATTTGCTCACAGGCTTCGAAGCCTCCATGAAGTGAAAGGAAGATTTGAGCTCCACCGCATCGGTAGTCACCGCTAATAACGTAGCTCTTGGCGAACAAGTGGCACTTGCGGCACGCAGAGGGAGTCCCGCACCGTCAGTTTTAGGCCCAGGACCACCGGCCCAAATCCAACAGCCGCCCAGTCAGACTAATTTTTCAGGCCGCACTTCTAATCGGAATCAGGCCCGAAATCAGCGGCCCAATACCCATTACGGTCCCAACCGACGTGGAAATAATAACTTTGGAGGTTCTACTAGCAACCAGGCAGCCCGCAACAGCTCGGGGAATAGTAATTTTGGGGGTAATGTTACATGTCAAATTTGTGGGAAACCGAATCATTCTGCTCTCAATTGTTGGCATCGGTTTGAACAACAGGCTTACCCTCCTCAAGTCAACACGGTTGTCACTCGGCATAATGGTTGGCTACTTGATTCTGGGGCAACCAATCATGTCACCAACAACCTCAATAATCTTTCCTTGGCATCCGATTATACTGGCACTGATTCTCTCGTCATTGGTAACGGTAAAGGTCTTGCGATAGCACAAGTTGGGCATATGACCCTTCACTCCCTT